TGACTGTCATAGGATCGCGCAGTTTTCTCTTATTTGCTGAGATGGCAAACACAACCAGTTGCCGCCGCATGCAAGAGGGAGTGCTAACCCTCCTAAAAGGGATTGCGCAGATAGATTTCTGTACTGACAAACTGTAGGCGAAAGTACGCAGACGTTTGACTACACGGAGTGGTTCCGAGGAATTGCCAATAACACTGGATGAACTCTATTTTTAGTCCACGAAACACCGTAATGAATAGTTTCGGCCACGAAGAATCGCGATAAGTCCATAACATGACCCACGTGGAAGGCAGAAGCGCCAACTTCGCCATACCACCGAAAGTGATGGATGTGTCATGTCGGACTGGGCCTTGTCAGGCTGTAGATTGTAAATTGGCCTGACAGAACTGGATGTGATAAATATCCAGCTTTTAAATAACCTTTTGCTGCTAAGATAAAGGGGATGTAATGTTACGTTTTTCCCCCGGTTGTTCACTGCCTAAAACATTTATCACAATGCAAAGCAAATGCCATTCAAGATGTGAGACCGGCTTTGACTTCAACAACGATAATATTTGTGTTTCTTTCACGATCTCCTACAATTTCGATTGCCTTCTAGATAGTAAAGAAATTCCATCGATTGTCAGGATGAAAATGTAGGCACCAGATACGGCTGACGCAGGCATCCAAAACACCACTGATCACAATTCCGCTTTTCAGTGTCGCTCTCAGATTACCTTTGTTGAGAACAATCATGGCGTAGTACACAAGTGATACATAAGTCCTGCTACAAGGGTATTACCGTTTCTGGCTAACGATAGTTTTAAAGAGGTCACTTATGATTTTATGTGCACGACTGACATGAAACGGCATTCATGAGCAATGAACAAAATAGGAGGTTGATTCGCTGACCCGAATGGGTCAGTGATGGGTTCGTTAACCTACGGCTACCTTGAGGCAAAGAGCGCGGGTCTAGGATAGTACCTATGTCCAATCCACAAAGTTTTGCATTTGACCCGATGTGCCGGCTATTGTGCCCTAAATGGTGCCAAAGTTGCCCTTCCATTTCTTACACCGTTCCAAATTGCAGGAATTGGTATGCAAAAGGCGAATACAATTGCAACGTTTTTTAATATCCCAAATGCGCACACAACATCTTTTCATTCACACAAAAAGGAATTTCAGGGGTGTAATTTCCCTCAAAAAGGAGAGCTTCACAGTTCCCTTCCAAGGTCATTGCCTTATCAGGCACTAAACCGATTGAGAACAGGGAAAATACCTTCACAAACAAACTTACATACGTTACCTCACATCACCAATTGTAAACAAAGACGTGTTCACAGATAAATTGCCTGGATTTCGTGATGGTGACACAGGAGAGAAGAGAAGAGAGACCAGAAAAAAAAGAATTAACAAAGGTAGATGCCTTGCTTTCCCTCCCACCCTATAAACTCTTCATCAAGGCACAAGCCCAATCGCGCATGGTAGAGGTACCGCAATTTACATAGGACTGCACCAACTCCTCCAACTGACCGTGGATCAAGGTCACGAATGCTGAAAGGGGCAAAGAAACGCATACAAAGAGCCCAACAACCAGAATGGAGGTGTGAGCAATAGAGCTTACATCGATGCCGTAACATGCTTGCGATGGCTCCGAGGGCATGCTCCCGCAGGACTGATGACTTTGTATTTTCAGCGCAACGCTTTAAGCGAATCATGAGTTCCTTTAGACCAAGTTTTTCAAGAGGGTTACCACCACCTTCCGAGGCTTTTTTGACTAGTTCCTCACCTTGCTCTGTCCTTAGTCTATTAAGAAGAAAGAAGCACGCAAGTCATTCACAATCTACAGAGAGAAATCAGAGGAGAGAGAAATAGTGCGGCTTACTTAGCAAACAGTGCAAGTATGCTTCCCAAAGCGGCAGATTGGATACGCCAGCCACCCTGGCTAATGAGGAAGATTAGGTGATGCAATGTGTCGACAAAACGATCAACTATAGAAAAGAGGAGAGTAAACGTTTATAGGCCTATATAATCCATCAAGGACAAATCTCATCTAAATGGAAATAATCATCTCACCATGTGGTTGTTTGGTTTGCAGGGGCCACATTACACCCACAGTTTTGATGGCCAATTCCTGCTCGGACTCAGACAACTCCTGTGAGATTTGAAATTGCGTCTGCTTGCCTTTCTTCGACGAGATTTGTTGTTCATTGGGGTCAGGAATGCCGTTGGGCAATATGAGACGCAGTAGACGCGTCAGACGGTCGTCATTCTCCTTCGTTTCTATCAAGCCAGTGGCGTCACGGCCACAGATCTCGGCGAAACTGGCCAACGCCCAAAAGGCCTCCGCCTGATACGAGGGACCCGCGTGCTCTGAACGACCATCGCGAGTTTCCCGTACCAGCACAGACCACATCTGCAGTAAAGATGACCAAGTTAGCGAACCAACTGGTGCATAAATAAGATGCTGCTCAAAAAAGAGCAGTCATGCATTTCACAGGCCGGGAACCATATTTA